AAAGTCTCAAAAAATAGACAACTAATATTTATAAATAAAAATAGAAGATAATTTCAAAATACAGATCATGCCAAATCTTATAGACAATAGAAAAAGAAGAAGTACTTCAAAATCATTCTACTTCATCTGGATATACCTGATATTAAGATTGGAAAAAAATATATTATTATAAAGGGAAATTACAAACATATTTCACTTATAAATGAGGATGCAATATCCTAACCAACATATTAACAAGTTGAATTAAAAATTAATGTTCAAGTAATGTACTTTAGTCAAAATTAAATCCAATTTATGTGAGAATTAGTCAATATTTTCTTTTTTTTTCTTTTCCTTCCCCTCACACCCTCCCTCCTTCTCTCTCTCTCTGCTCTCCCTGTCCTCCATGCCCCACCATGTAATTAATTGTCCTCATATCAAAGTTGAATACAAAGGTTCATGCTTCTCCATTCCTGTGAAGCATCTCTAAGAATAATGTGTTCCACCTCCATCCAGATTAATACAAATGCTGTAAAAATCTCCATTTTTAATGGCTGAATAGTATTCCATGGTATACATATACCACAGCTTGCCAATCCATTCCTGGGTTGAGGGGCATTTAGGCTGTTTCCACATTTAGGCAACTGTAAATTGAGCTGAGATAAACGGTCTAGTACAAACGTCTTTGTAATAAAAGTTTTTTTCCTTCTGGGATTGCAGGATCAAACGGGAGGTCTAGGTTGATTTCTTTGAGGTTTCTTCATAATTCCTTCCAAAAAGGTTGTATTAGTTTGCAGTCCCACCAGCAGTGTAAAAGTGTTCCTTTCTCTCCACATCTGTACCAGCATCTGTAGTTTTGAGATTTTGTGATATGGGGCATTCTCGCTGGGGTTAGATGATATCTCAGAGTGGTTTCAATTTGCATTTCTCTAATAATGATGGATGATGAGCATTTTTTCATATGCTGGCTAGCCATTCATCTGTCTTCTTTTTTCATTTTTTTATTTATTAAATCATAGCTGTGTACATTAATGCAATCACAGGGTACAATGTGGTGTTTTCATATACAATTTGAAGTACTCTCATCAAACTGGTTAATGTAGCCTTCATGTCTTTTTCTTAGTTATTAAGACATTCATACTCTGCTTTTAGAAAGATTCACTTGTACCCTTGTAAGATAGACCATAGAGGTGACCCCACCAATCACCCTCCCTCTACCCATCTACCCCCTTCCCTCCTCTCTTTCTCCCCTCTTCCCACATTCTAAGGCTATAATTAGGTTATGTCTTTCCTATGAAGGCTATAAATTAGTTTCAAAATAGGGCTGTGTACATTGGATACTTTTTCTTACATTCTTGAGATACTTTACTAAGAAGAACGTTTTCCAGCTCCATTCATGTAAACATGAAGGAGTTAAGGTAAAGTCTCCATCTTTCTTTAGGGCTGCATAATATTCCACGATGTACATACACCACAGTTTGTTGATCCATTTGTGGATCAGTGGGCACTTGGGCTTCTTCCATGACCTAGAAATTATTAATTGGGCTGCAGTAAACATTCTGATACAAATATCTTTGTTGTAATTCGATTTTTTGTCTTCTGGATATATACCTAATAAAGGAATTGTAGGATCAAATGGCAGGTCTATTTTTAGTTCTCTGAGTGTTCTCCAGATGTCTTTCCAAAAGGAACAAATTAGT